AGGAGACGGGCAGTGCCAGTAACAATGGCATACTTGGGCCCATGTGAATTTATAAAGACTATGCATGCATACGAGAAATGAGTTACATATCATCCAATGATCTTTTTCCAGATTTTGATTAGGATCATAGGATTGGGACTTGCACTGTATTAGTAAGAGGATAGGATATTAGTGTAACAGGATAAAAAGATAATAGGATAGGTCCCGTATTTTTGAACGAATTCCCCTTCTACTTCAGAATATTAAGCAAAATAACATTTCAGTACTGGTAAATTCAAAGCGTGCCAGCATCAGAATGAATACACACAGTCATCTTAAGCGAGAAGTGAATAGCAATTTTCGTTAAATATAGAGAAAAAAACCGCATGTAACAAAACACACTTTCTCCAACAAAAGAATTACAGTGACTTCAAAGTCACTATGAATGTGGCAGAAGATTAGAGAGAATATAAGAAGCAAAGAAAAAAAAATTTTAATCCGACAAAGCATTAAAATGTATACTCCAAAACTATGTATGCGTCAGCTCCATGTTAACGAAAGCCAGACAAGCGGTAGAGAGGCGTAAAACTGCCGCATCTAAAAAACATACAGCATGGCTTTCTAGTAATTCGCAAAATTGCAAAGGATACCAATTTTGTAGATAATCTATAACGCTCTGACATCTTTTTACGGCTCTAAAAGGTCAGCTAATATGACTCGAAAACGGGCAAAATTGCGACTTTCAACTAGGAATTGAAGTGACTGGGCAGTGCGACACAAGCAGCCATCCATGACTTCGCGCTGAGTTTCTTTCCTGAATATTCCGCAAATCGAGGCACAAAGGGACTGCGAAAAAGGGCACACCTGTTGTTTCTGCTTTTCGATTTCTGCATGCGCAGCAACCAGTTCCTGCTTCAGTCGTGCAATTTCAGCAGCACTGTCATCTGCAGCCGATTTTTCGTCTTTCTGAGCCTGCGCTGTTTCCAGCTCTTTTTCAAGTGTCTGCGATTTGTGCTTGTATTGACGCGCTATCTGCCGCAGTTGCTCAAATTTGGTTGACTGCTTGAGGCGCTCCGCTTCGCTATTCTCAAGTTTCTTCTGCAGATCTACCAGTGCTGCCCTGAAAACAAAGAACGGAACTACTAATGTACGGGGCTAAATAGTTTCAGATTAAGCAGTGTCAAGTGAAAGGATATAAAACAATACAAAGCGATGTGAAAAATGTATTATAACTTACTTGGAAGGCGCTTCTCGAACACTTTTCTCCAGCTCCTTTCTTGTTGAATCTCTTTCCGCAGTGAGGATACTTAGTTTTCGTTTTACAGCTTCAATTTCATTACTGAAAATCATTTTTCTAGTGAAATTGAACCTCTATTTTCATTACCTCGCAGAAAAACTCAGATTTACTGCAGAAAAGTTATAAAGTGACATTGTTTCTCAAGAAAAATAATTAACAACGCATGGGGCCCGCGCGAAGATGCGTTTTTTGCATAGCTTCCCGCAGTTTTTTTCGCTGTCGGCATCGGTTTTTCGGCAAATGATTCTAGCTGAACAAATTAAGACTGGCCGCTAGAACTGGCAGGAAACAGTCCTTAAAAATTTCAGCTTTCTAGGTTTCCAGGCTCCTGAGTTATCACCTACTTGAACGGGGAACATCCCCTAAAGATTTCAGCGTTCTGGCTTCTCAGATCCCCCAGCTATGAACTTACCCCAAAAAAATTTTGGTGAGCTCTTACTTGGGTACCACGTGGGTGATGGCGCCCATTTTGGGGATTGGGGCCGAGACGTGCATGTAGATTATGTTCCCGAAATTTCAGCCCTGCAGCTTTTACAGATCATGAGATGAAAGTACGTGACAGACGCACACACAGACACACGGACGCACAGACACACAGATACACGGACACACAGCAACCCCTCGTCAATATGCGTTTTTTGCATTCCATAACTGCAAAAAACGCATAAAAATCTGAATATGAGCAGTGATTTTGCTTGAAAAGTAATATCACTAATATGAGATATCCAAACCAATAGTGTAAAAGGCCATGGCGCTTTTGGGTGTAATGTCTAAAAGCTTGCAACGCAGGAACAACATGGCATATGTGTGCCGAATGTATGGGAACTTCCTAGTAATATCACTAACATGGGAGATCTATAGCGACTGTTTGAACGGTCTTGGTATTTCTGGTAAAATATTTGTTTTAAGAGAAATAAAAAACAAAAGTCTTACGTTAAACTGGCCATTTTATCGGGACCAAATTTGCCCAACGAAACCAATGCCTGATTGTGTTTTTCCTTCCATGTTTCTATCTAAAATAAACTTTCTCAGTGAACAAAGTAGAGCAAAGTTATCATAAATGAGCAGTTTTTTAAATTTATATTGTCATCTGTCAGTCTGTTAATTGTCGAACTGTTTACCTCCTTTCTTGCCATCTGTAAATCAGACAGAGCGCTTTGTAGCTTTCCTTTCTCAGCAATTTTCTCAGCTTCTAAAGTGGCAAATCGCGCTTGCAAATCATTTGCCTGAAATGCATTCAAAAAATACTTTTTTTCCAATTTCACATTTGGTAAAAAGATTGGGCAGAGCGGGAGGGTGGGGAAAACTGGAATGGGAGGGCGGGGAAAGGGAAGGGGGAGGTGCAGGTATCCCTTCTTCCATAAAATTTAAGAGTAATCACATCCATTCAGACTTCTTATTTCGAATATCAGTCAAACTATTACCACTTTTTTTGTCAAAAACCATTAATCGACTGATTAATAAAAACGTATTTTTCA